ACACTTTTTAGGTGTCTCAAGAAAACTTGTGATATATGATATGAAAGATATCACATCAGTAGTCAATTCTGCCGCGACTACTTATTGTTATTTTTAGATACCTGTATCTCATTCCCCGTGCCCTCTCTTATCTCTCATCGTTCCCTATGTTTGGTGTCTTTTCTTGTTCTCATATATTCTCTGCGTCCTCTAATCACATGTTCTACTCACTATATTTCGTGTCTGTTTTTCATTCTTCTCACGCTCTTTTCTCGTATGTTCTTCATAGTCTCTTTTCATATGATATCAGCCACCGTGTCCATTCACTGTGTCTTTTCTCTTTGCAATATGTCATCCACTAGGTTATTAAGTAGTAGTTGGTACATCTCTATTCGGTTTTTTAAATATGTGTTCTTGTCAGCTCCCCTCTCGTTCAATCAGTATTTTTCTTTCATTCTGCTTTATTCGTTTCTTCTCACACGTGTCAAATATGTTTGGATTTTGCTACAGACTAGAGAAGACTCACACCACCGTTTCTGGGTTTCTGAAAAATAGCAGGGATGAGCCCACCCTGCTGAGAAATCCTGGCTGCGCCGCTAACTATACTGTCTATATCACCTCAATTCCATCAGTTCTCCGGGTAACTGATGATCGGTTCCTTCTAGGTACTCGCTAAGAGCTGAGGAACTGTCAGCAAAACTGAGTGAATTTCCCGATTCCCCGGCTTTTTTTGCTTTTCCAGGAAATATTTCTTATTATACTATCTATATTGTCTCAAATTCTTCAGGTTCTCCTGGGAACTGACCGAGGTTCCTTCTAGGTACCCACTGAGAACCGAGGAACTCTCAGCAGAAGTCGGTCAGTTCCCCGATTGTCGACGTTTTTTTCCCTCCCTCGTTCCCAGAAAATCCTTGGAAATCCGTGAAAATTCTTTAAAATCCTCAGAAATCTTTAAAAATCGCCCAAGATCCTTGAAAATCCTTTGAAATCTTAAAAAATCAGCAGATGTCTTGACCAGTTGTTAAGAGCATTTTTGAGCGATGAAAACATCGAAAGTAGAAGAAAAACCAACTAGATGTATTGTGGACCCCGGAACGTTGAAAGAGAAATTTCAACGATTAGTTTTTGATTGACAGTGCGTGAAAGAACACTTTTTCGTCGTTTTGTTTGAAGTCAAGAGTGTTAAGCGCGGTCTAAATAGGTATTTAGGGCGACCTTTCTATTCCCCTTTTTGCTGAATCAATCTAAACGACGTACTGGACGTACTATGGGAAGTAAAAACGTCACGAGTGAAGAATAAAAAGGCCCTCTTTTTCATAGACAGTTGAAATAATTGAAAGTGAACTTTCGATGAACACCTTCCTTCTCGATAGAATGCTGTTTTCTGGCAACGATCGGACACGGGGATTTGTATACAAGTGCATTCACCAGGGTAATCTGCTAGCACTACTAACAACTAACACGAGTACGGGACAGAATAGGTCAACAATGGGTGATTGCGCTCAGAAGCAACTTTAATTGTAAAGATCGGGCGAAAGAGTAACTAACCGGTGCAGCTTTATTTCATGCCCTGGAGGTTTGAAATGTCAATAACTCGTGCTGACACCCCAAGTAGGTGTCAATAGCTATTGCTGACACCCCTGGTGGTGTCAATAACCCTAGTTGACACATCATGGTGATGTCAATAGACTCACCCATACTTTTTAGGCTGAAAAGTCGAACAGTTCCAAAATCTTATCATTAAACTAGGAAGGCAATGGAATCACAAGCTCATACTTGTAGCAAATACTCCCAAGACATCCATCTGTCTAATGGAAAAAAACTGACCTTTTATTTTCAAGTTACTCAAAAACAAAATTTGTACTTTATGAGTGTTTGAATAATTCTTTTACCGACTGTATGATGCATCGATCTTATGGTTAAAAGAGTCACTACACTGTGATAAAATGAAGTTTATAAACTTAACTTGAATAATTTCTACTAAATTCTTCAACTCAAAGGGATGATAAACCAGTGTATCAACTAACTACAATCAGTGGAAACGACGACTTTTTAGTAAGTAGTAAGTATTTACCATTTGAACCACATAATGAGAGGTTTTTGGTGTTCATTTGTACTTTTCAATTTGTCTCAATAATGATTATTAATCTATGTTTCTATTCATAATAAACAAAGGTTCTAAAATCCGTTATGGCTATGATTTAGCTGGTGATGACTATACAGGTCGCACAGTATAGAGACATATCCCAATCGAGATATCTTATTTACATTTGATTATATTTTTATATCGGAAACGGGATACAGTTTGAATTTAAATCTCACTCTGGATATCGAAAATTTCAATTTTTAATTTGTAAGACAATGATAAACTTAAATACATGAGCTGGATGTTGTTCTTCTTTATTCTTCTATATCTAGCAATGATACAGCAAGTAGTAATTCATCTATAAAAACACAAAATGGTTTATCTGCATGAAAGAGTCACTAGAAAAGTTCCCGTTAAAAACAAAGTACGTATACTTCAACATTGTTTATGCATCAGAGAAAAAAGAAGAGAGTGTGTTTCGATATATGTCAAAAAGCGTAGTTTCCTAAATGCAACCGAAAAATTAACGAAATTCAAAAGTAACGAGGTAATTGAATAACTATCATCGTCATTCTAACAATTCTGCTCCTGAGACGGAAAATCAAGGCCGATTGAGTTGAACTAAGGTTCATTCTAATAAATTGTTTACTATTATACTCGTTCAATTCTGTCTCTTTAGTAACTTAATTCAAACTAAGTGTAATCAAGTCAGCACTGGAATGAGAGAGTATTATCTCTGTAACGATCTTTGATAAACTCTTTCTTTATGGTTCTTGTTTATAAAAATTTTAAAAACATATAATACATGCTGAGAAGAACAAATCAAGGTCAATAAAACGGATGGGGCAGTGATAACGGCACATAAATGTAACGTCTAAATTCACAAATTTTTTCTTTAATAAAAACTAATTTCACACATAATATACATGTACATATCACTTCATCTCGGATACCAGCATCAGCACACAAAAATCAAAACTGCAACGAATATAGAGTCACATCTGGATCTGATTCATGTTTAAAAATTTCGATTTGATACATCTTTCTTGTGGTACAGAATAATAACAATAAAAAGAGAAAAATGTAAGGCGTTTTTTCTTGTTTAGTTTCTTTTTAAAAATAATTCGACATTCAGTTTTTATATTTTTCATTAATTTTTTAAAGTAGAAAAGGAAAAATATTAAAAATATAAATATATAAACACTTTCGATTGAACTAAAATTGTTTGTTGATAATCATTTGCACATTTTACCACATTAGCTCTTGATTCTTTCTAGTTTAATTGACTCACTAAAATTTTTTTCCAAACGAGTATGATTCCTTACATAGATAACTGAGAACAATGTGAACTGGCATTTCTTTATCATTTGTGCCATTATTTCTTTGTTGATCTTTTTGCTTTTCTTTATGTATCGTATGTCTGATTGTTCGTCAATTAACCCTCATATTGTCACCTATGGAACACTAAGGATATTGCAACCTGGGGTCCGTGCGGACCCCAGGTGAATTTGCATGCAACTCAATCTGATTTTGATTTTGATTAGTCTACAAACTATGAGTACTCTAGACAGAGAGTTACCGAAAATGAGATTCGTGCCATGGTGATTTTTAGAGCACTTGATTTTGACCTGTTTTATTAAGAAATTTCTTCTTTCTTGCTCTCTTTACAATTGTGCCCAACACGAATTACAAATTACTCGATGATGTTCTGGACAGCAGGATTGATTACAATTATTGCAACGAGTAACAACCTTTCGGTCGCGTTCTCTGGTGCATAGTCTGCATCGCTGTCTTTGACCAGTTTCCGAAGTAGAATTGATCACTGAATTCTTTGACGATATTCCAATGGTTTGCATAGAAATGCGTACGTCTCGTTGAAGCGCTTGAGGATTTTGCGAACGTCGGGTCAAATGTGCCTCAACGAGGCTGTGTCCAAGCTGTTGCAAGAATAATCGCCGTCGATGAAGCTTTCGACTGTTCCACTCCGGATTTTTACTCATCCAGACAACGAAAGACGCAATGCCAGCAATATCGATCATGTTGAAGAAGAATGTCATTGGCCATCGGTTGATTTTTCTTTTACACAAGTAAGTTTGTATCATCTGATCCATATGATCGACTCCACCTTTGGTTTCATTGTAATACGAAATTATTTCTGGCTTCTTTTCTTCTTCATCACCAACTACAATATCGTGGTGCATGGATGACAGTAAGATGACAACTCTACTTTTTTTTGGTACATAACTGACCAATGTAAGTTGTCTGTCGAAACAGAATATTGATGAGTATACCGGACGTTGGGAATTTGACTGCAGTTCTCGTGGAATATCAGGTTTGTTTTTTCGAATAGTACCAACAATAGTTGTTTGAACACCAAGTAGATCTTCAGCCAGATCTGCACTGGTGAAGTAATTGTCCATAGTAACGGTCCGTCCACTATTGATCCAAGGGTTAATCAAACGCTTGATTAGATTTTTTATACGATCCTTGCTCGAACCTGTTGATGCTGCTTGTGACTGCCTGCCTAAGTAAACTTCGCCTTTCAATGGGTAACCATTGCTGGAATCGCAACACCAAAATATCTTTATGCCATACTTTCCCGGCTTCTTTGGCATATATTGTCGGAAATTACAACGATCCCGCGTCGATACCAATTGCTCATCGACTGTCAGTGAGCCACCTGGAACATAACATGTTTCCAGCTGAGATAACAGCATCTTCGGAGTTCTCGTATCGGAGCTAGTTTGTCCGTTCTAATTCTTTCGTCTCGACTCCTTGAGTCGTCGAATCTACAGAACCGAAGTAGATTATTCATACGACACTCAGACATGGTTACTCGATATATGGGTCGCCCGTTGTACATCGACCATAACTCGCCGAGTTTCTCATGTCTGGATCGTTGAACACCACTAAGAATCAGTAGACCTATAAATGCTCAAATCTCATCGCTGTCAGTGTCGCTCCATCGATATTGTTTGTCAGGATTCCGCGCATTCCATTCTTCTGTAACTTTTCGAGCACGATTGTTGGTCTCTCTCACAATGATCTCTACCATATCTTGTGTAATGAAAAGTTGAAATGCCTCTTTCAATGTTTGTATGTTGGTAGCACGTCGTCCTACACCTTGGCGTTGCTTGACGATATTTGCTTGTGAGATTTTACGCTTTGGAGGTTCTAGTGTGGTCCATCGTCGTCCTGATTTCGATAGAAATACTTCTCCAGTAGGTTTCTGATCAAGTTTGGCTCGACGTCTAGGCGGCTCCGTATCGTCGCTGCTTTCACTTTTGATCGAACTAGTGTCAGTTGCCTCAGTGGAATCGTTGTGAACTTCGGAATCAGTTGTGACTCGTCTGAGCTGTCGTTCAGACCTTTTGGCATCTCTAACTCTACAGTATCGGTATCTTCGCTGTTGACGTCTTCGTCTGAATCGCTGTCGGATGACTCGATAACTTTGTTCGCATGCTTTCGAGGATTTGAGTCGTATTGGCTCGTTGAGTTCATTGCGGTAGCTGTAAATTTCCACCGATCAAACTATGAAGTATCCAAGAACGTAGAGAGTATTTCAGATGAAAAAGAAGTATAATCACGCTTCAAGATAAATACAGATCAGAGATCTCCATTAGTTATCGTTATCTTTTATAGCCAAAAGGAGACCTCTTTTGAACGATAGAGAACGTTTGAGAAAGATCTGACAGTGAAGTGCAAGTGACGGGTTCAATGACTCATCAGAAGACCAGTCAAACGGTAGAAGTGTCTAGAACGTTCTCTAATGTCAAATGAATATGTTCAGTCACAGAGCGAAATTAAAACACAATGCTAGTGATGAAACACCATTCAGGTATATCAGTTCAGAAGCGTTCTTGACGATGAAGAAAGGTTGACATGCATTCTCAGTGTTTTCTTAGTGATCACTGCTTCGATTAGACAATTGACAAGATCAAAATGTTCTCTAAAGCTATTCTCAGATGAATCTAATTGATTGAAAGAGAATGCAGTATTATTTCTTAGCCATGCAATGACAAGCTGTTTGGGGTCCGCACGGACCCCAGGTTACAAACAAGCGTTTATTTGACTTTCAACCTACTACAATCTGTTAGCAAGGCTTGACCAAGATCGAATCACAATACTTACATATTCTATCAACTGTCATTGAAGCATCTAAAATATCAAGACACAGCCTAGCTCTACTGTGTTGATTACACACATGAGAACTTGTCTGGGGTCCGAACGGACCCCAGGTTGCAATATCAGGGTTAATTTTATTGGATACCCACGAGCATTTAATACATCTCTTAAGAATTTTAATTCATCATTTAATAAAACATTATTTGAACAAAGACGTAATGTTCGCACCACTAACGAATTTATTAATCCTATTTTTGATGCCGTGGTAAACATGCATCCCGTTGCATTACTTAAGCGCTGCATGTTCCAATGAGCCACGGTATCAAAAATAGGATTACTAAATTCGTTAGTGGTGCGAGCATTACGTCTTTGTTCAAATAATGTTTTATTAAATGATGAATTAAAATTCTTAAGAGATGTATTAAATGCTCGTGGGTATCCAATAAAATTAATTGACGAACAATCAGACATACGATACATAAAGAAAAGCAAAAGGATCAACAAAGAAATAATAGCACAAATGATAAAGAATGTCAGTTCACATTGTTCTCAGTTATCTATGTAAGGAATCATACTCGTTTGGAAAAAAATTTTAGTGAATCAATTAACCCTTTACACCCCCTTGGGTCATTTTTGGCCCATTCGTAGAAAGTTTGCAGAAAATAAAGAAAGCATGAGATTCAAAAACTCCTAAGACAATATTTCTAGGGAACTCCATAAGCTATCGATTGGTAGAAAAAAATATTTTATTTCGTTGCTCTGCCTTTGAGATACATGACTTGCAAAATTGATAATTTTGAA